CCCTGAAAGTGGGCACAGGCTATTAGGGCTATGTGGGCAGGAATCCTGGGTATCCGGATGGTGGTTTGAAAGAGGAGGGATGAGCTCCAGGTGGGTGTGTCCCTAGCCCTGCAGTCTCCTCACCTCATGAGTAGGGGTGCAGCTGGGAGAGGACCAGAGTGGGACCCTCTAAAGCAGGGAAAGCAGTTTATGGCCCATGGGTCAAACACAGCCCACTGCTTATTTTTGTAAATAAAATTTTATTGGAACACAGCCATGCCCAATTTGTTTCCATATTGTTTGTATCCACTTTCTATCTACGATGGCAGAGTTGAAAAATTGTAACAGAAAGACTATAGCCTGTAAGGCCTACAATATCTACTACCTGGTCCTTTATGGAAAAGTTTGCCGACACTTTCTCTAAAGCATGATGCCCATAGCAGGGACCCCTCTTGCCCAGGACTAAGGTCAGACACCTTAATTTTAGGATGTACTGTTTTCCCCCATTCTCCCATTTCTCTTCCAATCTTTTCCTTCTAGAAAAATGATTTTTATCCTGACCTTTGAACAACACTTTCATGCACATATTTAATCCTCATGGCTGGTGAAGTAGATCGTAATTAGCCCAGTTTTCAGATGAACTAACTGGAGCTCAAGGAGTGTAAGGACATCTGTCTGATGAGTGGTGGCAACTAGATTGAATCTCAGAACATGGCAGCACCAAAATTTCTGTGGAGGAGGAGATTAGAGGTGGCTACATGATCTGATGGGGAATACAGGTGGGAATACTAGGAGACTTGTTTCACAATTGCTTTGAGTATCCCCTATGACTGAGAGAACAACGGACATACATACCAAAGGACGGGGATGGCACACACTGATGGACAGTAGGGAAAACTAGTCTCCAAGTTTCCCGAAATGCTTTTCCAGTGCTCAGATCTTCTTTCTACAAGGTAGACATTTCTTGGAGCACCTCTCTGACTTTCTAGCTCTGGGTCAGTCCTTTGCTCTCTCTGGTAATCAAGTTCTAGAGAAGCAGAAGAGCAGGATAATCAAGAACACAGTCTGGAGTCAGATCTCCTGGGTTCACACTGGCTTTGTCAGTCACCTACTGGCTATGTGACCTTGGGCAAGACCTTCTCTGAGCCCTGGTTTTCACATTTCTAAAATGGGGACAAGGGCACCTACTCCCAGTGACATGATGGTTAATATTTACAAAGCATTTGCACCCGTGCCTGACACATAATGAGCATTACTTGTGTGTTGTCACTTTCATTAAAAGAAAAACTTTAGACCAATAAATTTGACAGAGTTTATCTGAGCAAAGATCAATTCATAAATCAGGCAGCACTTAGAACCAGGAGAGGTTCAGAGAGCTCTGCTCTGCAGTGTGGGCAGTGAGTATTTACAGACAGAACAGGGAAGTAAAGTACAGGCGGAGCTTGACTAGTTACAGCTAGGAATTTGCCATATTTGGACATGATCTGATGAGCCGGCTGCTTGTGATTGCCTGATATCCAACTAGCTGTTACAAAAAAATATACTGCTAAATATACTGCTAGACTAGGTTTCCGCTTGTTTACATACTAAGTTAGGTTGCAGTTTCTTATACAGGAACTCGAAGTATAGAGACATCCTCAGGCCAAATTTAATTTAACACTTCCATCATCCTGCTGTTGAAGTGGGCACAAGATGGGCCATGAACAGCTAGCTGCCTGACACATTAACCTTGACCTTGCATGGAGCCTAAGAGCCCATTAAAGTTCTGTATCTTGGGCTTCAAGCCCTGAGCTCTGTGGTTCCTCTTGCGTCCTCTGCTGTGAGGAGAAAACCATTTACTTTGCAAACATCCTGGAGAAGGTTAGGATCAGGGCTTCTCCTTTGACTGGGGTTGGGGTGGGACCCTGGTCAGCCTTTTTTTGTTTTTCCTCTTTTTTCCCCCAGACAACCCCTCTGAGGAGATCTTTGAAGACTAAGAGTCTTCTGCCAAAGAGGAAGCACATCTTAGAGTTGCACAGGGGTGGGTGAGAGTCAGAAGGTCATATGAACCCCGCCCCCAGAGGCAGGCTGTCTCTGCTTGGATCACAGCTCTGCTACTTCTCAGAGTGAGCTTTGGCAGTTTGTGTAGTTTCCCTGTGCCTCAGTTTTCCTAATCCATGAAACAGATGATAATAATAGCATCTGCCTCAAGGAGTAGTTTGGTTTAAATAAATTAATACATGTGAAGCACCTGACACATTGTAAGTACTGAATGAATGTTAGCTATTATTATTTTCAATACTGGTCCAATGCTAGTTAGTCAGTACCTCCAGTTATGGGCAGTCTTCTAGGGTTCGGGCAAAGGCTAGGCTGAATCAGAAGCCTGGGAAGAATGGGGGAAGATTATGGGTGACAGCACTGGGAGTACCATCAGCCCTGCATGACCACATCCTTGTACTGAAGCCTCTAGGATCCATTCTTGTCTTCTCTGTGAATCCAAATTGCCTCTAAATGGGTCTGGGATTGAAGTGTCCAAGGACGTAATCAACATCTTTCAGAAAATCTTGAAAACTTACACCTGGTAGACCTCTAAGTAGGAGATATCTCACATGTGCTTGGAATGCAGCCAGCACCACCACCTTCTCTTAGAAGGGATTTTAGTCAGGCTGCATAGATGTCGTGGGGCTGGTGTCAATGCCAAGGGTAAAAGCAAGCCTGCCTTGGAGAGGAGTGGACCACACCTTTTCTCCTCTCATTGTCTTCTGGGGCTGAGAGACCCTCAGACATGGCCTGGAAACCTGTGATGTGGCATCTTGGTGGGCTTCCTGTAGGTGGAATCCCTTTCTGTATGAGTAGTAAGGCTGGGGATGGAGTGAAGGAAGGCAAGTCCTAAAATATTGTGATTCTCAGAGCCTCAATCCAGGAGCATTTTTGCAGCTGTCTTTTCTCTAATGTATGTGGTTCCCTGGGACTTTGTCCCAGGACTTGCAGCTTCTCCTTTTTGAGTCAAAGCCTAATTAGAAATGTCTGTCCCAGGTCAATTTCCTCTGTTCTCTGTAAACTAGACAATCTTCAAATAAAGAGAAGTAACCTTGGAAAACGATGCTCTCTTACTCCAAACCTGATGAAAACTCACACACGTGTAGCCACTACCCAACATCTGTTGCTACAATAGAATCAAGGGGTGTGATCTGGGCAGGAGCTCCCCACCCTTGTGCCCCAAGGATATAGCCCAGTCAAACGGTTGCCCTAGGATCCAGCTGGTCTCTTATGACATGTGGGGCCTACTCTGACCTGTAATGATCTTGGACCCTAGGTCAGCCTCCTATGTGTGCCAGATATGCCATTCTCTTAAATGTTCCTTCAGCCAACTGCCTTTTAAAGCTGTTCTCAAAGAATCTCCATTGTGTCCTTGTATTGATTACCCAAGACAGAAAACACAGATAAGATTCAGAGGGTGAAGGGGAGCCATGTGCTACCCCTACCCCTTTCTTCCTGATGTATCAACTTGCCTACAGGAGGGAGCCAGGTATAGCGTGGAGGGCCAGCAATGCTCCCTATAAAAAGCTGTTAAGTGCCCATTCAGACTGGAACTCACATCTCGGACTCCGCATCCAAATGGACAAACTGCTGGTAGTCTGTTCCAGGCGAGCGAGCTGAGCCTTCAGAGCACCTGCTTTTTCTCCTCCATTCACTCTCTGTGCCCTCCTCTACTCCTGTGCTCCAGGTCTGCATTGTCTCCTTCCTCTCTCGCAGCTTCCTGGGGTTCATAACATAGTGGGAAAGGAAGGAAAGGCCCACTGAGCACCTGAGGGCTTCATACGGGAGGGAAAGTGGGTAACTCTGGTGGAGTGGGATGAAGCCATGCCGCCCTCTCCCCCTCTCCACCCATGTAAAATGATAGAAGATGCGGGCCGGCCCTTCCCTTTCCAACGTTCTGTGGTTCCTCCTCAGTGCCAGCCACAGAGCAGGAGCTCAACACGTGCACTTCATCAAATACCAGGAGCGATTAGCGGAAAACATGAATGAGGCAGATGTTCTGAATGTAGTACTCTGGGAGCAGGTGTGAGGAGGTTGGGAGGGAGGCAGAAAAGTCTTAAGGAGTTCATGCAGCTCCCCCAGGACTAACTTGTTACTCAGAGAGGATGACCAAACTGTGGGTAGGAGCCCACGAGAAAGACCGGTGGGCCAGGCACAGCAGCACATCTGGGTGTGGTTGAGTGGCTTGGAAGGGAATAAAATTTAGAAGCATCATCTGAGTTGAAAAGCAGAATGAAGTTGGTTCTGGAAAAGCTGACTCTAGTTCTGAGTGTGAAGAGACTGCTGTGCAAGGGCCCTCCACCTGAAACCACCCCTTCTCCACCTCCAATGCCCTCCCCACCAATCTGGCTTATCTTCAGGTCTGTTCACTCAGCACATATTGATGGAGAGTTGGCTATGTCCTGGGCACTATGCTGTGTCATGGTTACTTGAAAGTGTAAGCATAGCCCCTGCCCTCAAGGAGTTCACTTCTCATGGGTGGACCAGCAAACAATGATCCTTCAGTGTGAAGGGTGCTGTGATAGAGATACGCACAAAATAAGAGGAGCCTAGAGGGAGAAGCAGGAGGCCCAGTCCAAAAGTCACCTCTCTTGGCAAGTCTTCCCTGACCTCTGTTTTCCATAATACTCAGTTCTTATCTGGGTTTTATCACTTGTCACATTTGCATTGCACCTATGTGCTTACAGGTTTGAGTTCCTCACCAGGCTGTGAACTCTTTGAGGAAGGGACCCTGTCTAGTTTTCTTTTTATCTCCAGCACCAGTACTTAATAAGGATTTGTTGAAAGAATAGCAACAAATCCTCTTTGTTCCTGAGCTGTCAACCATCATCTGAGCTTCCAGGTAGCTAACTAAATACCTACAATAGCCATCTTCTCCAAAAGCATCAGTCAGGAGCCTATGTTGGGAAAGGACTTATAGAGCAGAGGGGCAGGGCCCAGCTCCCCTTCTCCACTTACGACCAGTGCTGCCCCAGGCCTGCTCCTTCCCAGCAAGGGAAAGGATGACCCTGGCACCCTCTGACCAAGGTCTCTTTTCTTCTTCAGTGCTAGCCCTCTGGCTTCAGCTGGGTAAGTACCCCATGTGAGGGTGGGGGTACCAGAGTACCCTGGGGAGGGACATTAGTCAGGGCAGGGCCCAACCTTTTATTGCCCTGCCATTCCAGGTGCAGCAACCAAAATTGTCTGTTACTTTACCAGCTGGATCCAGTACCACCCTGGGACTGCCCACTCCATGCCCGAGAATGTGGACCCTTGCTTCTGCAAGCACATCATCTATGCCTTCGCTGGCATGGCCGACAACAGATCACAACCATCGAGTGGGATGATGAGGCCCTCTCTGCCAGCATCAATGGCCTTAAGAACTAGTGAGTTCTGGGTTTGGGCTCTGTGCTGGGTGGGAGGTTTTCCTGTGAGCCTTTCAGAATTTCCCCCCAAGAGACACTGGCGCCAGAATCTTAGCCTCTGAGTGCTGCTCACAGTCATTCTTCCAGGAGAGGCGGGTTGCTACTGCCGTTTTTCTGGATTATTTTCTAACCAGATCCTCAGCGTTGTATCCTATGTGTCCCCGGAGGTGCCATCCACAAGGGATTCACTATGATCAGTGTCCCCCAAAGCTTGCCATGTTGTGGTGTGGCCGCACACCAACCTGTGAATTAGCTACCAATTTAACCTAAAGTGGTTCTTGTGCCAGTTAAATGCTTAGCATATTTATGGGGTGACTACTACATGCTAGGCATTAACTAAGTGCTTTTCATTTATTATTTTATGTACTTTCACCACAAACATTATGAAGTGGGCATATTAAAACCATTTTAAAGTTGAGGAAAGTTTGTCATGGAGAGGTTAAAAGCTTTCTCTAGCCCAGGAATAGAACCCAGAACCCAGGAATACCAGATCAACTTATCAGACAGGTTGACACTTTCATTCTGTTGGGAATCCAGTGGGTCGGTTTTACGGTCCTGTTGCCAGGATCTGGGGTCCTGCTGGGAGACACCATGGTATAAAGGAGTTAGTTTTGAATCCTGGCGCTGCCACCTTACCAGCTGGCTGAGTTCAATCTCTCTGAATATCACTTAAAGGTGAATTGAGATTAGCAGTCCCTGCCTTGTGGGATTGTAAGGGTTACAGGAACAATGCATGTAAATTGCCTGGCATTTAGTGGACACTCAGTAAATAGTAGACCCTCCCACTGCCCCATTCCTTGCTCTTTTCTTTAGGAGACTCAGACTTTCAGCTTGTTGGCCTCGTGTATCCCAGCAGCTTCAGCCCCCCTACTGCTGTGCTAAGGAGCTGCTTTTCAGCTCCCCTGTCCTCCCTAGGATGCCCTGTCTCTTCTTCTCTCGAAGCTCCCTGCTGTACCAGGATCCATCCGCCCACTCGCAGAGTTGGGAGCAAGAACTTGTCTAATGAGTATTTATACTGTGCCCTGGAGGTACCCCCAGCAAGAGGGCATCTTGTTCCCCCAGAGAGCTGTGCTCCCAACACAAGGCTTGATGTGGGATGTAAGAGTGGAAGGATTGACCAGCAGATGCCATCTCCTTGCAGTGGAATTTCTCTACATTGGTGTTTTTCTATCTCTAGTAACACGGAGCTGAAAACCCTGCTCTCTGTTGGTGACTGGAATTGTGGAACCCAGGGATGAGACCTTGTGTTCATGGTTGAGTCACTTCCAGATTATTCAGCTTCTTCCAAACACCAAGGGCTCTGAGTTTCTCCAAAGTGGGTGGCCCTGGGGACTCAGACCTCAGGTTAGACATCCCAGGACTCTTTTCTGACCAACTCTCCCTGAAGTCTATTCTTCCTCTGTCATAGCTCTTACCACACTGTATTTTAATTGCCTGTTTACTTATCTATACCTTTCTCTGTATGAGCTCCTCCAGGGCAGAAACTATTTTATTCACCACTATACCCCAGCAATGTTGAATGAATGACTGAATAACCGAATGTGTGTCCAGGCAAATAGTCAGGAGGCTAAAAGACAACACAGTATCCAGGATCTCAGGCCACTACTTTTTCCTCCTATGTCCCCCTAAAGTGCTCCATGGGAGAATCCTGCCCTTGAGAGAGTCCATGTCAGAGGCTGTCACTGCCACTAAGATCATAATGTTAACTCCAGCTTCTCAGACATGGTGACCACTGCTGAGGACCATCAGACCTGCCTCCAGTTGGCCTCATGGTTTCTGAAGAAGTACAACTTTGATGCGGTGGACAAAGATTGGGAGCATCCCAGCAACCGCGGCAGCCCAGCAGACACCCAGCAGCTCTTCACTGTCCTGTTGAAGATGACTCACCCTTGCTGTGTCCAGATAACACAGTATCGGGCACACGGTGGGCCAGAATAAGGCCTCTATCTGCAGAGGGGTTCTAGGAGAGGCTGAACGCACTCCAACCTGTGTGCTTCAAAGCCTGCTTTCTTTAGCACAAAACCAGATCTCTCTTTTGAGGAAAACTCACATTGGCTGAGTTATAGAGGCTGGTGCGAGACAGCATCATGAATGTTGACAGATTTATAGTTAGGAATGTAACTTTGAGCACCAGTGCTTGATTTAATACTCTTATTTCCTTTTCTTCCATCACTGATTTTTCTTATTATTAGATTCAATCACGTACAGTTTGTAGGGCTGGGAGCCATTTTTTCCTCTTTAATATAACTTTTCTTCTTTTCTATTTTTCTGTTCTAGACATTATTTGTTCATTTTAAAGCTTACTTCTCAGAAGACGACCAAATTCTCCTCATTTCCAAGTTTTTGGGAGACAACTCACTCTTGCGCCCAGAGACCAACAACAGCTTTTGGACCAGAGGACTCTGAACTGAGCACTTCACAGTTTCCTTCATGAGAACTGCGACCTCATTACATGCTCACTGGTTCCCCCAGCCTGAGTCCAGTGTCTCCTGTTTCACAGGAAATGTATAAGGCTTTTGAGCAAGAGACCACCCAGAGCAACAAGCCCAGTTTGCTGATTTCTGCTGCTGTGTTGGCTGGTGAAGGTACAACTGAGACTACTTACCAGATTCCTGAGGTGTCTAAATAAGTAGACCCCATGCCCAGGAGCTCATGTTCAGAGCTAAGTGACCCCAGGATCTTTCCCACATACCATTGACCAATGCTCAGTTACCCTGGATAGACAGGGCTGTATCTCAAAGGAATAAAATAATCTCAATGCCTAAGAAAGAGGCATGGGTAGCCAGCATAACAATAAACTTGTTTCTAAATCTATTTCCAAGGTTCTCCATAGTAAAAGACTGTTTGGAGAAGGTTACTTGAGTTTCAAGCTTCTACACGTCCTGAAGTTCTGAGTACAGGATATTGATTATGTGTGGAGTGCCTTCTATATACCAGGTGCTCTTGAGATAAAGGTCAAGAAGAATGGAATAAAGAATGATAATGCATAAGAGAATCCTTATGGCATAATTACAAACAGCACAATTGGCAGGGACTAAGAGCTTTAGGGGATGTGGGATAGAGAGATGATTTCCCTTGGGTCATTTCTGTCCTCTTGTGCCCTACCCCCACCACCCAAGGTATATGGACCTCATCAATGTGATGACCTATGACCTAAGGGGCTCCAGGGAGAGCTTCACAGTAGAGGACAGTCCCCTGTTTGCACCACCCAATGACAAGGGAGACTACAAATACTTCAACGTGTTGAGTAAGGAAGTGGATTCATCAGGCCAGTCCTAACAGATATCTTCAAAGCATGTCATGGGATCCCTGGCCTGGGACTGGAAGGGAGGCCAAGGAAGCTTGATGGACCACTAATGTTACCTACTTCCCTGTTCCATGACCAATTGTATCCATTCATCTTTCACAAAAAATGAAATAGAATACTGGTTTGGGATAATCCCATAAATTGGAGAATTTTTTAAAATACCGTTTCCATTTATGCTGGGAGTACATTTCATGTTCTATCTGCTCCCACTATTTCTTCTTTGTCCCATCCCACGAGGTTTGTCTTTCTAACTTGAGTGGCTTAGGTGGCTGTACTAATGAGTCTGCTTAATGGTCACTAGCTGGCTAAACATACTAGATGTGATTTCAGTGGAGATTTCAACCAAGAATTTTAAAATTGACACTGGACAGTCTCCCAGGTGGATATCCCATGCTCAAACAGTTATAAGCACCATATTAAGTCAGTTGGGAAGACAGGTGGATGCATGGCTGAGCTCCAGTCATGTCCCAAATGCCAAATCCAGTATCAGGGGGAGGAGGGTGACAGGACATTTCATCCGTAGTTGACACTGGACCCTGCTGCCTAAGTGATGGACCTCTTCACCATGGATACCTCTAACACCCAATTCTAGAAGGGAGGGTGCTTTTTTCTTTCTACTAGGTTAGGTTGGATTGTGGGTAGACCTTGACCGGATGCTGTATCTGGAGACACTGGGGAATTAGGCAGAAAATCTAAGCTGTTCCATGGCCTCTGGGAGCACACTCAACTGTGTCCTAATGGTATCTTCTTCACCTTGCCTCCAGAATTATGCAATGAAGTACTGGAAGAGCCAACGTGCCCCTGATAAGAAGCTAATGGTGGACTTTGGGGCCTATGCCTGCACCTTCATTCTCACTAACCCTGACAACCACAGCCTGGATGTTCCCACCTCTGGTCCTGGGACTGCTGGGCCCTATATTCAGGAGGCTGGGACTCTCGCCTACTTTGAGGTAATATTTTTAGAAGGCCCAGGGGACCAGGAAGACCCACTCTTCTTTGTTTCAAAGTTTGAAGATACATCCACGGAGAATGAATCTAAACTCTTATTTTTAACACAGGGTACCCTGTTGTTGACTGCACAGAGTGTATGTGGTAAGGAGAGAAGGGAAGAGTGAATGATTAATAAAATATCTTAAATTTTAACGTTTAAAATAAATATGCACCTTTAATACTAGCAGTAGATGACACTTACTGAGTATAAATGGAGAGCCAGGCTCTGTTCTAAGTGATTTTTATACATCTCACTTAATACAACAAACAATGAGTTAACAACGTTCTCCCCATGTTACACCAGAAGACACTGAGGCACAGAGAACTCAAGTAATTTGCTTAAGCTCTCAGAACTAGTAAGTAGTAGAGCTAGGATTCAAACTTCAGTTGTCCAGCTCTCAAACCTCAACCATTATGCTCCATTGTCCCCTTGTTAACTCTTCTGAAATGAAAGTCTTCAGATAAGAAGGACAGGCAGATTTATTTCAAAGAGAATGTGGGGCACAAGGCACAAAGAAGCTGCCTCATCCATCGTTGCACAGGTGATTATTGGCAGGCACAGGACTGGTATTCATGTCTCATCTCTTCATCTGATGTGTTCTGCTGTCCCACAGGGCAGGAAAGCAGGGCAGGGAGCTGGGCGAAACTGGAACCAGCTGTTCTTATTTCCAGTAAAGGGGAATAGAGTGGGGAGTGTATCCCAGGACAGAAGAGGAGGGGGAAGTGGCCGAGTAGAGCAGGGCCCATCTGAGCTGTGACTGCTCCTCCTGCATCTGCCCCAATCTGCTCCTTCCTGAATGGAGCCACCCAGGTGGGGAATGCCCCTCAGGAGGTGCCCTATGCCTACAAGGGGAACCAGTGGATTGGTTATGACAACCCCAGGAGCTTTGCCCTCAAGGTGAGGCCTTCCACACCCTTCCTTCTGCATGTCTTGGAGAGGTAGAGAACCTACTCTCCCAGAGTTTTTGAATTGCAACCTCAGGAGACACCTAAGGAACCGGCCCAGTTTTGATGGAATCCTATATTATTACCAATCTGGTGGGAAAATCCGGCGCGCCAGCGGGTGATCATCAACATTGCTGGGCTGAGGTTTGAGACTCAGCTCAGAACCCTCGATCAGTTCCCAGAGACGCTCCTGGGAGACCGGGAGAAAAGGATGCAGTTCTTTGACTCCATGAGAAATGAATATTTCTTTGACCGGAACCGGCCCAGTTTTGATGGAATCCTATATTATTACCAATCTGGTGGGAAAATCCGGCGCCCAGCCAATGTCCCTATCGATGTCTTTGCTGATGAGATTTCCTTTTATGAGCTGGGTAACGAGGCTATGGACCAGTTCCGAGAGGACGAAGGCTTCATCAAAGACCCTGAAACACTGCTCCCCACCAATGACTTCCACCGGCAGTTCTGGCTCCTCTTCAAGTACCCTGAGAGCTCCAGTGCTGCCCGTGGTGTGGCTGTGGTCTCGGTGTTGGTTGTGGTCATCTCCATCACAATCTTCTGCCTGGAGACACTGCCAGAGTTCCGGGAGGATAGGGAGCTGAAGGTGGTCAGGGACCCCAGCCTCAACACGAGCAGGACCGTCCTCTCCCACGCCCTGTTCACTGACCCTTTCTTCATGGTGGAGTCCACCTGCATCGCGTGGTTCACCTTGGAACTGTTGCTCCGGTTCGTGGTCTGCCCCAGCAAGACCGACTTCTTCAGGAACATCATGAACATCATCGACATCATTTCCATCACCCCCTACTTCGCAACTCTCATCACAGAGCTGGTGCAGGACACAGAGCCGAGCGCCCAGCAGAACATGTCCCTGGCCATCCTGAGGATCATCCGGCTGGTGAGGGTCTTCCGCATCTTCAAGCTCTCCCGCCTGCTTGCCCTCCCTGTGCCTGTCATCGTCTCCAACTTCAACTACTTCTACCACCGGGAGACCGAGAATGAGGAGAAGCAAAACATCCCGGGAGAAATCGAAAGAATCCTCATCCTCAACAGCGCGGGCTCAAGAACGGGCAGCACAGACTCTCTCAGTGAGACCAGGGGCGGCTGTTCCACGGAGAAGTCCAGCAAGTGATCGGTCCAAGGCTTCTTGGGTCCCTGTGTGTTTCTCCCTCTCTCCTTCCCTCCCTGTCCTCTCACTCTCTGTCTTTCCAAAAGCCAAAATTTACCTTTTGTGACCAACAGGCCATCTTTGACTGCAAGCTGTTTTAATAAACCCACACTTCCGCTGCACTTTCTAAGATGTTTCTTCTCAACTAACCATAGGAAGATTTCATTCTCCTTTCCTGTGAAGGGGGAGTTCAGGTCCCCAGACCAAAGACATCGGCATCACCTGAGGGCATGAAAATGCAGAATCCAGACCTACCCAGACCTACTGAATCAGAATCTGCATTTTAGCAAGATCCCAGATGATTTACTTGCACATTAAAGATTTTAAAGCACTAGTTTTGGTGTTCCTAAGAGGAAGCATATTAAAAAGCCAGGAGCTGCTGTGAGCAATGAATAGAGCTCAGAGTTGTATAGTAGTAATAATAATGTATTACTACTTGTGTAGCATTGCATAAATTTTCCAAAGCACTTTTACCCACAATAATGCAGTGAGATAACTCATTTCATCTCAAAATAACCAGGAAAGCAGATTTGATTATTATTCCCACACTGCAAGTGAACAAACCAGGAGAGAGCAACTTACCTAAGGTCACCCAGAAACAGTGACACAGTCAATGCTGTCAAATCTCCTACCTATGACCCTAGTGCTCTTTTCACTAAATGAAGAGGGTGTGTTGGAATTGGGGGAAGGGTGAGAGGAGACTGTGGGGTCTGTCTTTCAGAGGATCCAGTTAGCCAACCTCTGGGCAGGGACACTCTTCCCTGGGGGCCCAGGATCTCAGCATAGTCTGAGAGGCAGTGCCTGCCTGTCCGCTTGCTCCTTAGCCCCTTCCTGGGACAGTGGCCAAGCAGAAACATTTTTAGATGCTTTTTACCCTGCCTATCTCCATGGATTTACAAGAAGACTAGGGATCTTGAATGTGGAGATCCTAGAGGCCTGCTCCAGGAAAACGGACATGTCCACCTGCCTCAGGGTTCAGCTCCCATTGAGAAATTGGCCAGTAGCCTGTGGGGCAGCTGGGAGGGAAGAGCAAGGCCTGAAGCATATGCCCAGAGGCCAGGCTCACCCAGGGTCAATAGTTGTGGCAGGCTGACCTGAGGAACTACCCTCCTGAGAGAGGAGCCTGCTCAACCCACCAAGGTCCTAGGACAGGGGAGTGGAATTGGGATTCCCCAAAGAACAGGGAAGGAAGCCTCGATTCTGTCCATCCTCATCCATCCCCTCAAGTAAGGAGGCCCTGTGCCTTCCTGGGACCCTATACCCAACTCCTGGCCACACCCCAAAGGTAAGTCAACACCAGAACAGTGCCCCTGGGCCGTGGGTCTCTCACTGTACAGCTCTACTGCACAACATAAAATCCAGGCTGTATTAGTTGGGGTTCTCCACAAAAACAGAACTAATATGGGTGTGTGTGTGTGTGTGTGTGTGTGTGTGTGTGTGTGTGTGTGTGTACACAATGGTACCTCAAAAAGATCATGGAAGAATTCATATTATTTTTTAATTTTATTTTTCATAAACTTTTTGAAGTACCTGCACAATATGTGTGTATACATATGTACACAGATATATATACAACATATACATGGTAGAGAGAGAGAGAGACTTATTATAAGGAATTGGCTCACGCAATTATAGGGGCTGACAAGTCCTAAGATCTGCAGGGCAAGTATGCAGGCTAGAGACCCAGAAGAGCCAGTGGTGTAGTTCCAATCTGAACGCTGGCAGGCCACAGACCCAGAAAGAGCCAGTCTTTCATTTTGAGTCTGAAGGCAAGAAAAAAAACCAATGTCCCAGCTCAAAGGCAGATAGTCAAGGGAAATTCCCTCTTGTCCTGAGGAGAGACAGCCTTTGTTCTATTCAGGCCTTCTACTAACCTGATGGGGCCCACCCACCCTGGGGAGACACTCTGCTTCACTCAGTCTAAATTTAAATGCTAATCTCATCCAGAAACACCTTCACAGACACACCCAGAATAACTTTTTTTGTTGTTGTTTGAACAAATATCTAGGAACCCCATAGTCCACTCAAGTTGACACATAAAATTAATCATCACACTGGCACACACCCAGCTCCACACAACCCTGCAAGACACAATCCACACAATCCTGCAAGACACAATGATGCAACCACAGATGCCACCACACAACTTCCATTTCATGACAAATGGGCTGATATGGGAGAAAGCTGCTTCTCTTCTTTCTTTTTATCTTTATGTTTTAAGAAGTTAAATTTAGTAATATTTAAATCCCCCTCCCATTCTATTAATCTCAATCTTTTCCTTCACTTTAATGTCAAGCTTCAATTTAGCACTGGGTCAGGCAAAGATCTAGCCTGGTCTTTACACAACACATTACAGCCCTTAGATGCAGGCAAGCAGGGCTCCTGTTGCAGGCCCTGAACATCAGGATTCGGGCTTTGGAGAGTCTTCCTCACAATTTTCTAAGTTCCCTTCCATTCCTCCCCTTCAGGGCACTCCCATTCTCTACCCATACCTAACTCCCAAGTGAGTGGGGTTGACCAGTTGTCCTGAGGAGCTCCAGGACTCATTTCTATGGAGTCTCTCTGAGGTTTTCTGCCAGGTTCCACTTCCGGGATGGTGGCCTGATGAGCAGATTGTTCCCACTGCATGCTGTGACATTTCTTTTATAGGTTCACACAAGTTCAGGTGCCAGAATAGTGATGACACTCTGATTTGGGGTGATAAGAAATTTTATATACACAACTCCCTTATAAAAACAGTTTGCATAGGACCTCAAGCACCCTAAAGGAGGCCAACAAAAGAGCCCATATACCTACATTCAGCCCTCGGGAAGCCACGTCATCATAATCCTCTACACCAAAACCTGTCCCCCACAGTGTGCAGGACACTCTGCCCCTCACATCAGCCTTCCAAGGTAGATATTATTACACCCACTATGCTGTGTGTGGAAACTGGTTCAGAGAGGTCCAGAAAGCAGTACAGAAGGGATTTGAATCTAGGTCTCTTTGATGCCAAAATCTGTCCCATCACACTGCCTGCCCAGATCATCCTAAGAGAAGAAGAGCTTCCACTGGAGCAAGGAAGGTGGGCTGTGGTCACACAGACATGCCTGGCACATTCCTGGGAACAGAGAGCCTGCTTCTCCTGAGGCCCCCTTGCTTATTTCCTCTGACTTTGTGTTCACTGGCCAGCGCCACCTGCTGACTGTACACCTTCACATGCTGCAAACACATGGGATAATCAGACCCTAGGACAGGCTTGGCCAATGCCCCAAAGGCCAAGATGGAGTCACAGAAGCCTGCAGCCCCAGCCTTTCTCTTTTTGAGATTCTGCTAGGAAGAGTACAGACAGAGCAGGGCAGATATGAGCCACTCTTTTTCTTTGGCTAATCTGGTTACCTCTGCAGCCTTGGGAGGCCTGATCACAATCTTCTGATGCCCAGAAAGCAGGTCTTAGCATTCAGGCTGGAGCAAGGGAGTAGAGTTGGAAAGGTAAGCCCTCCACTCCCCATGGCACTGCTGCCAACAGGACAGGTTCAATGGACCCTGTCCACTGGCACTGGTCATCTGTTTCTTCCCCAGCAACCCAGGCTAGGAGAAGAGCTATGGGAGCCCCTCTCTGTGGAGTATACATAAAGCAAATGTATTTCACAGGGCCTGGTTTTCCAAAGCCTTGTAGTTTCAAATCTTAACCTTGCAAAAGACAGGAGATTTTTCCCAGGCTATAGTCTCTGTTATAAGATAAAGAATTGTAACACAGCAAGGTTGCTGGCTCAAAGACAGACAGGTTACTGACTGATATGTAAAGATACTGGGAAATTGCTGTAAGAAGAGAATGTTTGCTAAGATCAAGCTTTTGTTGGTCGATCAACTTAACTTCTTGAAAATTGTATTATGGAATGTCACCTTGCTTGTTTTACTGAATGTTACCAGCTTCTATTGTTAAACTTGTTAAACTATACTTAGCAAAAACCCCACCTATGTTCTCTTCCTGAAACTTCCTGGTCTGGAGAATAAATGCAGGAAGAGAACCCCGATTTGGGTTTAATTTCCCAAATGGAAAGAATGCCTCTATCTTGAGGGTTCTGGGAGATTAACCCCTTTCCAGGGCTTCTCACTTCTCAAAAGAGATGGGCTTTGGGTGATCTTTTGCAGCTCCGTCACCCAGGAGAAAAGGGGTGACAAATCCGTGGGAGGCAAAGCAACACCTCTCTCCATCTGTCTGCACAGCCTCCTGCTTGCAATGAGATCTGTTGTCTATAGAGGAGCACCCATGTGACTCACCAACAAAGGGAAATGAGAGAAGCCAGGAAAACAGGTAGGGCTGCCAAGGGGGTCAAGTGGGAGGCACAGAAGGAAAGATATCCCCCCTACCAATCTAGGAGGGCAGGACTGGTCAGCAGCCAGGCTCAGACAGCAAGGGAGAGCAAGGGACCAAGGAGGGCCATTGTCTAGACTTAGCAATTCTACTCCTAGGTATGTACCCCGGAGAAGCGCACACACGAGTCCTGGGACACAGCTATGAGGATGTTCATAGCAAATTAATTTAATAACAGAACACTGGAAACAGCCCAACTTTCCATCAACAGATGAACTGATAATACAGTGGAATATGAACAGAGCGGGATATTCAGTAGTGAAAAATGAACAGCAGCTTCAAATATTAGCATAGACAAATTTTGCTCATAATGTTAAGTTTTTTTAAAACAGCAAGTCACAGAATAGGATATAATTCCATTTATAGAACAGTTCAAAATCAAATAATATATATATTGCATACATGCTTGGTAAAACTGAAGACAAAATAGTGAACACAAAGTTCAGAGCAGTGGTTTTCTCCAGAGCAAGAAGAGAAAGGATGGGATCGGGGAGGCAGACACCAGCTTCCAGCGGTGCCGGGAATTATTTTAGTTCTCGAATAAGGAGGCAGGTACAAGGGCGTTTACTGTTGTTTGTTGTTGTTTCCACATTTTAACATCTCTGATATCAGGATGGTTCTGCAATCGCCATGGCGATTGTGAGGAAGTGATTGTCCCAGAC